TGACTTTTAGTGTGGAATTTCAAACATTCTAACGCTCCCACTAGCTTTTCCAAGTCCATTATATCTTTATTTCCGCCATTTGTTTCGTAATAGGCAGTTTCTATTAGAACAATATTAGGTTTTTCATTGTGAATTAGGTTGAGAACATATTGATAATGCTCTTGTCAGATTTTACTAAAAAACTGAAAAAATAACTTGGTAGAGCCTCAAATTAAGCATATTCCGGTAGTTCCAGTTCCAGAAGGGTCGATGGACAAAATTTTAAGCACTGCATTTCTTTGCATGCTCTTGTTTAGCTTTTCATGCCATTTTTTTAGCTTGCTCATAACTTGAAGCAAAGTCTCTTAACAAAAATTTTTCATTACAGGTTTCACATCTATATAAACTATACAAAATGCAAACTGAACAATAACTTTTTCCGCTCTCTTTAACCTTAAGTTCATGAGGAGGGAAAGAAAGTTTGCATCTAAAACATTTCTCCATATATATTTATTTTTATTTTAAGACTTGCGGGACTTCGCTCTCGCTCACTTTTTCGAATAAAAAGGGGCAAGGATAGGGAGCTTTAGAGGTAAAAACAGGTTAAAATTGATTAGACATTGTCTAATACATATTTTAAGACATTTTTTAGGGCGAAGCAACCATTACCCTTATTTTTTTTGCTGTTTCGAAATAGAAGGAGCGATGGAGGCGAACGGAAAAAATTATGCGAAATCCTCTTTCTTTAAATTGCTCACTTCATTTTTAATCAACAATACTTCTGAATGGTGCTGATTTTCTACTGCTGGATAATAGGGAGTAAGGACAACTAATTTCATTTTCTCACAACTTTTACAATTAATATCGTTATACCTTTTGTATTTTTCAGCACAATCATAACAAGGTTTAATAACCCCATTACTTTCCACTAAACTCCTACAAATATTAGGATTATCATCAATTACAATATCAAAATCAGAGGCATTTTCTTTAATTCAATCGGCTTTGCTTTCTCCTTTTTGTTCATTTTCAAAACCTATTAACTTTAACTTAATATTACAAGGATATTTTCTTTGAAGTGTTATTCCGAATGTGTCTCTAAATATCTCATATTTTCTATCATCTCCCTTTGGAAATTTACTCTTATCGTAAGCAGATAAGAATATTAACTCTTCTACCTTGCCCTCCCTTATCAGTTTCAGCAAATCCTCAGCAATCGTTAAAAATGGTGCTTGCTGGTAGAAGCAAGGAGAGTTTTTGATTTCTTCATACACTTCCCTAAATCTTTTTTCATTAAAGAAACTACCCTTAATTTTGGAACCATAGGGAGAGTATTCTATATTGTTATTAATTTCATAAGCATGATTATCAATACTTTTCTCTTTTCATTCTTTTACTAAACCTTCATTGTGAAGAAATCAAAAGTGTCGAAATTCGCTTTCGAGGTCATTAACGCCTTTATACAAGTTTTGAAACTCTTTTTTGTATTCTTCGCTATTTTTTGCTTTCCATAAAGCATAAGGTTCACAGGGTTGAATCACTTCATCTCAATCACAGATGATTTTTAATTTTTTATTCGTATTTTTAAATTGTTCGTATAGACTTATTATTTTTATTTTTGACATTTTTCTTTTACTTTCTTTTACTTATTTGTATTTTTTTTAAGAACTAGTTTTAAATTTCCATTTTCTACTTCTTTCGAAACACAAGTTAACGAGTTTTCTTGACAAACTTCCTCGATAATCTTATCCATATCTATCTCTGTCCTAAATCGGCTAGGCAGTTGCTGAAACAAATACTCTATTTTTTGTATCTCTGAAGACATCTTGCTTAATTTATCCGCAAGATATTTCTCACAATTCTTACAAATGGCAGTATCATTTTTAAAATAAGGAAGGCAAAACCATTCCAAATCTCCCTTTTTAGAACAATTTGGTTTCTGAAAATCACATTCTTTTTGTGCTAATTCTTCCTCTGCTATTTTTTTTCAATCAATTGGATCATTTTTTATATCTTTAGCAATTTTAGCAAGTCCTTTTCCTCATTTTTTAGATATGCATTTAAAACAGTGTAATTTATTTTCTTTATCCACTGCACCTCCAAAACACTTTTCTAAACAAAGATTGCACTCAGCACCGAGATAAGGAGTAATTTTTGATTCCATAATATTATTTATTTTTTTGTTTTCGGTCATTATTTTTATAATTCTTTTCTTTGTCAATCAGCATAAAAATCCTTCTCTTCTCTTGTCATATCCTTATAGTCTTTATCTTTTAAAGTTTCTATATCGAGTTTTTGTTTATTCATTTTCATTAATTACATGTTTTAATTCGCCTAACTCATTATCTTCAATATCCCCAGAATTTATTCTTCTAATTACTTCTGCTAATAATGCCCCATTTTTTAAATCTACCGAACTTTTAATTTCCTTTTGTTTAAAATATTGAGAGATTAGAATCTCCCTAATTGTTTCTAACACTGGCATAATTTGAGAAAGCTCGGAGTAAACTCCTTCCTTTTCTTTTGCCTTTTCTGATTTTCTTAAATCGTTTAATTGTATTGCTAGTCTGTCAAATTCGTAATTCATAATTTTATTTTGTCTTTATTCATTTTCTTTGTTTTTATTTCTTTCAAACTCAAAAGCATCCCACTTTTTTTGCCTATCTCATAATTTAGTGGCACATGTATTACTCGAACAATAGCGAATAATACCCGCCTTACCTATTGCGTCATTGTTTTTACAGAAACTACATTTATCTATTGATTTTGGTTCTTC